AGGAGAGAGGGAGAAAAAAAAAGAGAAGGGAGGGAGAGAAGGAAAGAAGGAAAAGAAAGACAGATTAGGAGAAGGCTGTGTATTAGATGTCAAAGGAAGCGAGGTTTGAAAAGAATGAGTGGACCACAAATATCTCTTAATGCTGCAGGAACATCAGGCTCAAGGTGGTTGAGAATTGGCACTCAGGAGGTCAGCGATGACCTTTGAGAGAGCAGTTTAAGTATATCATTGAAGTTGGAAGCCACACTTTGATTTGAATAATGAATGCAATATATAGAAGCTGGGACAGCTGTGGTAGGCTACTCTTCTATGAAATCTGGTGGTAAATAAGAGAAGAAAGGGTTGTAGCTTGAGAAAGCATGAGGGTCAAGCAGAGAGGAGATTTTGAACATGTTCACAGTAGGAGAAGGAAGTTGGAGGCCTCTGTAAGCAGCAGAGAAAGAATCCGTGGAGAGATTGAACTGCAGCCAGAGTGAAGGGGAAATTGGTGAAGCAATCCCAGCAGAAAGGAAGGAGGAGGTGAAATAATGGGAAAACTCTTTTTTTTTTTAAATATATTTTATTGATTTTTTTACAAAGAGGAAGGGAGAGAGATAGAGAGCTAGAAACGTCGATGAGAGAGAAACATCGACCAGCTGCCTCTTGCTCACCCCTTACTGGGGATGTGCCCACAACCAACGTACATGCCCCTGACCGGAATCGAACCCGGGACCTTTCAGTCCGCAGACCGATGCTCTACCACTGAGCTAAATTGGTTTCGGCAATGGGAAAACTCTTGCTTTGAGGAACCTTTTAAAAAAAAATTAACACAGTTGTCTTTAATTCTTCTGTGTTACTTTGTAAACGCTAAAGAAATATTTGTTGGTTGTATTTATTGCTGGTGTTAAATAAGAAGACAAACAGATTCTCACATGAAGCCATGTAAACACAGAAAGAAGAATAATTTGGCACCCCTTTTTCCCATTCTATAAGAAAAAATTGTAAGAAAGTTTTTTACTTACTCAATCCATTGAAATGTTTGCTTTATTATCCCAAACGTAATCATCTAACCCTGCCAAGGAGAAAGACTTTATCACATTTTTAAGGCAATGTTCCTTAACTGGTTGTATTTTAAATTCTTTCATGATGAGTATGGTTTCAATCAAGCCTTTAGGACTTACTTTTTTTTTTTTCATTTATTCTTATGACCCTAAATATTTTGGATAAATCATAAAGTAGTCTAACTGAATATATCAAGGATTTCATGCTTTCCATTTCATTAACTTTTGAAAAGAAAATTATTCTCTGAAATTCAGAAATAGCTAATATTCATTGCCTACTGTAAGCTAAGAACTGTTCTTATACATTATAAAATAATGATCTACATGCTAGGTGTTAACCTCATTTTATAGATGGTAGGGACACTGAATCTCAGAGAGGTTAAATGGCTCCACAAGGTAGAGCTTAGATGTGAACCTAGATTTCCTGAGATTCTGAGGCCATGAGCTTCTCCATTGCATTAATCTTCTTATTACCATGTCATAGGCATCTAGTTCATACCCTGTCACAAACAAATGTAGTTAGTGATTTTTTATTATTGTGATTTTCATTGATAAAGATTATAGCAAGGATGCTTATAATATAACTAGAGGCCTGGTGCATGGATTCATGCTATTTGAAAGGAAATTAATTAAAACGTGGCCCATGAGGTGGGACTGGGCAAGACGGGCCAGACATGCCCTGGAGCCAACCTCCCGTGGTCCCCCCCTGGCTGGCTGCACCTGGGGCAGCACTGGGGCTCGAAGGATGTCTAGCGAGTGAGTGGGGTCCCTCCGGCAGATGGGGTCACTTGGCCTGTCCTGTGGGGATTGGGCTGAAACCAGCCATCGGACATTTCCTGAGAGGTCCCAGAGTGTCAGAGGGCGCTCTTCAAAGTTGCTGTCTCTCAGCAGCTCCTGCGTTGAGCACCTGACCCCTGGTGGTCAGTACACATCATAACTACCGGTCAGATGGTCGCTAAGGCTTTTATATGTATAGATGATCCTTCATGTTTTATATGTATAGATGATCCTGTGTGTTTATTTCTTCTGGCCATTATTTTATCAATATTTATTAATTATTGAGGATCAAGACACAGCCAGCTCTCCTGGCTCCACAAGGAATTAAACTGCTTCAGGGACAAACTGCCCCCAGCCCTTCCTATAATGGGCTGTAGGCCCTGGGATAACACATTTAACCTCTCTGTGTCTCAGCCTCCTCATCTGTAAGGTTGGAGTAGGATGATCACTGAGGATCCTTTCATGCTTATGATCCTGACAGAGTGTAGGCAGAGTCTTTATTAGAACTAATATTGGAAATCCAGGTCTCAGTATTTTATGAAGAACTAAATATTAACTTGTTTTGTACTTAGAATTTAACTATATGAGTTAGAAAAGTTTCAAAATAATTCTGTAAAATGATACGATAGCTTTAATGGAACATATTGCCTTTATACTGTGGTTTAATCCAAAATGTACAGGAGACTAGCAGCAGTTTGTGGCAGAAGTTAAGATCCCTGTCAATATGGGCTTTGGTGGCAAATTCAGTTTTTCTGGCAACAACTACATCAAATCTGTATAATCTGGAAAAGTGAGAATAGATTAAATGGGTGGTTAAGAAATTAGCAGGAAGAGTGTGAAATACTACATGAAAATCTGCCATGAACATTTAAAGTGTCTAGCTGCTAAACTTGTTCAACACTGACAAAAAGTGCCAGGCATTCTATGGGGATCAAGAGAGAAAAGAGATTTCACAGACAAGTGAATGTGAAAAAAAAATAATTGGAGCAGGAAAGGAGAAGGTACTGCTTCTGAAAGGATGCAGAGATCCTTGAGAGACCTTCTTGCCATCATTTGGCTACTTCCAGAGGGGGAATGCCACCCTGCTACCCAAGGGGGCCTGTTACTAATGACCGGTGGTGTGCAAGGGCTGAATCAAGTGACGAGCAACTGATTTAAAAGGATGTAAAGTGAATACTGAATTTCCTTTTAAGTATATGTATACTTTAATATTGATTCCTATTGAAGTAGCAAATTTATTTTGCAAAATTGTTTTTAGGGATTTTTTTTTTTTTTTTGCACTATAGGTAGTTTTTTTTGTGTGGTTTTTTTCCCCCTCTGTGGTTATGAGTGTGAATGTCTGGTCTGTACAGACATGTCTTTGCCACAGCGTACTTCTTTACTCCCTAAAACTATGGTTCATCAATTTTTCCTTTCTGTAGAAGTATGCAGAGTGCCATGGTGAGACAGTCTTGCTCTCAAATTCCTTTTAGAGCATAAGCAACTGGGTTCACTTTCCCCCCCACCCCCCTTTCTTCTTCTATAACCCCTTCTTTTTTTCTCTTAGCACTCATGAATAGTGCACAGCAAAAATGCCCCGTGGAAGAGGTATGTTTGTGACCAATGATGTGATGTCATGTACAAGTGCTGTGCCTGCTGATTCTGGCTTTAGTGGTGATGGTGATGTGATTGTAGCGCACTTAATGAGCCACTTACTTAATGAAACCAGCCTTACCAATCAGACCAGCCCCTCAGAGCTTTAGCCTCTCTGTCCTTCATTCCAATGACAAAATGCACCTCAGCTTGGATTAACTTTTGATAAAAATTGAAGTCAAATCAGTTAATGATATGAATACAAGACATCCTCCAACTTGATATCCAAGAGTTTTGGTTTCAAATGTTGGGTTTGCTTTGCCAACCCAGAATAGATTCAGCTGTCACAGCCACCTCTACCCCTGCCTCCCCAGCTTTGTCAGCCTCATTGTTCAGAGAGAACTAGAAAGTTAATAGGAGGGGGGAAAGCAGAGATTCATACCTTCAAACTTTACAAATCAGAAGAATTGAAAAAATTAGAGTATTGGAAATAGGAGGGCAATTGGCAGAAATAGTTAATATCTGAAACAAATTCCTGTTTGTGCACAATCATTTCAGTATGTGTAGGAAGATTTATAAAAAAGATGTCTTTAGAATGTGCTCCTTGAAAATAGGGATATAATTGTGTATTGTACATATGTATACTGTGTGACCCTATATGTGACATATTGTCCAGATCATCTGATTAAGACATGATTTAATTTTAAAATAAAATTTGGAAAAATTTTAAATAACATAGCTTTTTGAGATTGAGGGAAAAGTCAATGCTGCATATATAATAATATATTCTATAAATATGTTTATAAAAGTGATATGGACAGTTCTTGTATTCATTATTTTTTAATTTAAGTACTAAAACAGAGACTATAAAACTCCAGAAAAGTTAGAAAATCGATGAAAATTTAACCACCTTCATTCTCTTTACAATAGTCATAAACAAACATAAAAGTACTGTCATAGATCAGAATAGATATGTAATGAAGTTTTATGCCCATTGTTATTTCATGTAATTATAATGCTCTTATCATGCAATTTCTATTTGTAGCTATCTTTTTTTCCCTCTGTTCAATCATTAACCTACTTTTGGAACCCCAGAATGTGCTTTGGAGAGCTTTTGAAATCTGCTATCTTATGAATTCAAATATATGCTATAATTAACTTGATACCATATGAAAAAATCATTTTGATTTGCTTTTCTACTATGGATGTTAAAATACATACATTCTGCTTTTTCTCTATGTTCCTCTTAGATATTATTCCCTCTAAACCTAATTCAGGTATAAATGCCTTTATATTCTTTCTTTCCTCTGTCCTTATCAAAACATTTTCTTTAAGACACTATCCTATGTGTCTATAATCCAGTTTGTAGAAATACATAATTTATTAGCTACTTATTTCTAATTATAAAACTTATTTCTAATTATAAAATAAATATAAGATGTGATTAAAAGATTTGCAAAAAATAAATAAGTTGTTTTAATCCTTCAAAAAATCCATATATTCTATATGATATCAAGTATAAGCTATTTTTTAATAATATACCCTATGAAATTTAAACCTTTATTGAATATTCTAATTTTGTATGTCATCAATGTATTCTTTGTTTTGTAGCTTCTCGGACTTCTATACAAAGTGAGCTTCATCGAGATAGGAGGTATGTTTATATTTATAATAGAGGGCATATTTTCTGCTAATAATGAAATAAAAATGTTACCAGTTAGCAAGTTAAATATTTCTCTTTTATAAGTAGTGTATTACAGCATTCTGCCTCATCAATACATTTCCTGAATTAATCTATAAGCTTGAACGATAGAGACTTTGCTTGAGAGGAGAAGCAATACAAGCCCAAAGTGTTCTTTTGAGACTAATTATTTACTGAAATCAATTTGAAAATGTTTATTAAGCAACTGCTACATGTAAAGCATTATTGGAACTGCTTCAAAGAAGTGCTTTGTACCTCATAGCTGCTTAGTACATGTTGCATAGATAAATGGATGGATGACAGGATAGGAGATTGAGTGGAAGGGTAAAGAAAGGAAAAGAGGCAGGCAGGCAGGCTGGATAGATAGCTGAATGCATAAGTGGCTAGATGGTTGGCTGAAGAAAGGGAAAAAGGGGAGGAGAGAAGACTGAGTCACTGGAAACACAGAAAGAAGGCCAAATAGACAGATAGAGGGCTGAATGGATGGGAAGATGAGCAGGTGAATAAATGGATAGATTTTTATAAAACATCTTTCATGCTTTCAAATTTCTTATGGTATGGTATCTAGGAATGAAGAACAAGGACTTTATAGTGAGACATTATGCAAGTTCAAATCATGACTTTACTTTCTTACCATGTGACCTTGGCAAGCTATGTCACTCTTCTTCGCTTCAATATCCCCATCATTAAAGCAGTACAAACCAGACCTCCCTCAAAAGGTTGTTATACAGATTAATGCATGTAGAGTGGCGAAAATTTATTAATTAGTAACTCATTATTTAGTTAAACAAAAGCTATAAGCAGAGGTTTTTAGGTACTCCCATTCAAATATAATTAATAAGCAGGTTCCACCATTTCACAAGCTAGCATGAGAGTGTATCTACATGGGAGAGAGAAGGTTGATCTATACTAATAAAAGAGAAACATGCAAATTGACCATCACTCCATGCAAATTAACCCAACAAAGATAGCAGTTAATTTGGAGCAAAGACTGAAGAAAGCATAGAAGGAAGAGGGAGGGAAAGCAGAAAACAGGGTGGTGGCGGCCACGGGAGGGAAAGCGCAGGGCGGCAGTCAGGCTTTGCTCCCTTCTCTGCTTTGCTCAGACTGCAGGAAGCCCTATTCTTGCAAGAATAGGCCCAAGGAAGCCTTATTCTTAAAGGAATCCTGCAACCGGCCTCTAGTTTTATTAATATTGTTATTAATTTCAGAAAGGAAGAGAGAGATAGAAACACCAATGATGAGAGAGAGTCATTGATCAGCTACCTCCTGCACATCCCACGCTAGAAATTGAACCCACAACCTGGGCATGTGCCCTGACCAGGAATTGAACTATAACCTCCCAGTTTATAGGTCAATGCTCAACCACTGGCCAGGCTATACACAGTTTTAATAATGATAGTGCTTTTTGGTTTTGTTTTTATTTGGCATAGAGTGCTAGAGAAAGGAAGAGCAGGTATCATCGTCATTATTTGTTAGAACCGAAACTTGAGGCTCAGAAAGATGATTGATCAACTCAGAGTTGGTATTTGTTAGGAAGTCAGGTTGAAGGTAAGATTTAAACATGAGTGAGAAACTGTAGAATCAAGTTAAGAAAATTATGAAAGAAGCCATGCCTAAATCACTATGGCTCCTCAGTGTTAAACAATAATCATCAAGTTCGTGTACAAAACTGACAAGGAACACAGTCACGCACATCAGGGTCTAGAAATGAACATGTGAACTCTAAACAGTAAAAGATAACTTTGAATTGGGACACAGGTGGAGTGAGGAGGAAGAAGGTATTCTATGTATTCTATTTATATGGTATCACTTTTTAGTTTATACTTTATAATAACAGAAAAATAAACAATTCTATTTGACACATCCACTTTTCTACTTAGGGTATATTTATGTTTGGCTATAGGCTAAGATAACAGAGCCCGGGAATGAAAAGCCTGTATGGACCTTACCAAGTCCATATCCTTATCAACCAAGGCAGAGCTAAGTGTGCTTAGGGTACACCTCTAACTTTTTGTAGCCAAACTCAGAGAGGATGCTGCCATTTGATCCCTTGAAGCCTGCCTGGGTGTACTGGTAGAGACAGCCCAGGCCGTACAGGTCATTTCTGTGACTGCAGTAGTTCTTAAGTAATTTGTTTGTGTGGTAGTTGTTTTCATGAAGCTTTGAACATTTGCAAATTGATAATAGCCTGTTACCAACCTGCAAAATCTCACTGAGGCTTCTGTCTCCTAGGCGCCCGGAGATCACCATTGTGGCAGCTGAGCCACTGAGGCCAGCCTCATGGTTTCCAGGAGCCCCAGCCCCAGGATTGGGATTTCCCCCGCCCTCTGCCGCAGGCCCGTGGAGGCCCAGTGAGCTGGTTCCTGCTGAGGTGAATAAGTATCTGTTATCTCTTTGCATTTTATTTTTAAAATGAAAATCCAAATATTAGAACAGTGAGACTGTTAACATGTTGGCTGTCAACCATAGGTGTCTAAAATTTCATTCTTTGTATTGCAGCTCCCACCATCTTATGAACAAGTCATAAAAGAAATCAACCAAGTTCGAGTTAATACTACAAATAATAATAATGCTGCTGCCTCTCCAAGGCACACTATTACTTCTGCAACTCAGACTGACTTTTCAGAAGAAATAGACAACCACCTGCCTCAAAGTAATGCAAATAATTTGTCTTCCCTAATTCTGACCTGGTTCTAGGAAAGTAATCAGTAGACTCTAGCCTTAAAAATAATTTTTAATCCATACATAATTTATTGAGCTCTGCTTCCAAGTCAGTGTGAATCATGTGTGCTTTCTTTATTTGGATTTGCTATGATTATAATAGTTCATTCTCAGGACCCAAAGCCCCATTTCCTTGGGTTTGCTCACCCTAATTCATATCACAAAACATCCTTTAACTCATGGTTGGTATTATTGCTGATGCCCTTTATTCCCATGGAGAAGGATGTTATATTTAGCAATGTAAACTTGATAAAATGCTAAAGGTGTTTACCCTGTTTGCCTTTTTAAATGCATTGTATTAGGATAACAGATGGATGTAAGTTACTTTGGAAAAGTAAAGCAAGAATTGTTAGAATTTTGACAGTGAGAGAGAAATTATTTGTGTGATAAGTCTACTGAGAATCAGAAATTTAACTATGTTTTAAACTATTACAAAATGAGTGTTTCTTATATAATTTGAACACTGTGCAAAAAGCTGTGTATAAACATTTCCACCTTGATTTTGGAATTACTTTTTACTAATTGAGAACAAGTTCTCTTGCTATTCTACATGTTTATCTTTAAAGATTTGTTTATCTTCTATTATGTTTTTTTTTAATTATAATGTTGCAACTTATTTTTGCTCATTTTTATTTTATCAGCACTACAGGCACCTCTCAAACCTCTTCAGCCTTCCGTAGGGGTCTCAGCCAGTGATCTTCCCACAAATGTGGCACCTTTAATAGTCTTTGACATTTCTGAGGAACACAGTTGTCCAGAAAATTCCAATGCTACAAGATGTCCAGTGCCAAAACCAAGATCAAAAAGCAACCTCAGACCAGTAGCCAGAGATTCCCACATTAAAGGGCAGAATCTCCAGAAAACCAGCTCAGCGGCTACCGAAGAGGAGTCGGCCCCAAGCCAACCCCAGTCTTTGTTGGACAATACCAACGACTTGGATCATCAGGCAGGGATAAACATTATGAACACAGAACGAAGCCAAAATAGTATTGTTTCAAGGATCAAAGCATTAGATAGTCAGACAAATACAGAAACTTCTGGACTGCCCAAGAAACCAGAGATTGCTCCCCGCGCCCTCCCCCCAAGGCCTGCTGTTCCCTCAGGGAAACCCTCTGTGGCTCCCAAACCAGCTGCTAACAGAGCTTCTGGAGAATTGGACTCCTGGAATGAAAACAGATGCAAGGTGGCCTCAGGGGAAGGGCCCACCCCACACTCTCCATCGCAAGAAGTGGGGAGCATCCCAGTAACCAAACCTGAATTGCCAAAGAAACCAAACCCTGGCCTTACACGAAGTGTTAATCCGGAGACTCTGGGAGGAGGGCCCGTGGCTGAGAGCCCTGATGGCAGGAAGAGAGTCCCAACTCCTGCTCCTCGGCCTTTGCTGCCGAAGAAACCAGTTTCCTCAGAAAACCCCACCTGCCCTGCAGCTTTGCTGAAACCGGTCACTGTTCCTCCCCGACCCTCAGTGGCATCACAAGCCAAAGCATTCAGGCCACTGGGCGAAGGAGCCTCAGCCAACCCCCCAGCCCCAGGTCCGCAAAGCAAGCCTCTGGGGGACATCGACCTCATCAGCTTTGATGACGATGTTTTACCCACCCCACCTGGGAACGTGGTTGAAGACTCTCTTGGTTCAGAAATGGCTCTGGGTGAGTAAAAGTCAGAAGTGGAGGGGAATCTAAAATCATCATTGGGTCTCTTGAATGGCACTTACTGTTTTAGTTTCTAGTGCATAGGTTATTGAGATATGTATGTGTAGAGAGAGGGAGAAACAGAAATTAAAAAACATGGAGCTGGGTGGGAACTGGAAATTAAGAGGGAGGAAAGGGAAAATATGGAATGGAAAGATAGAAACAGAGAAAGAGGGAGACACACGTGTTAATTACTATTATCCAAGCCTGGGGCTAGAGACCAAACCAGATGTGAGGCCGGCTCCCTTACTCCGGCAGGTGGAGATTCAAACATAAGCAGGAAGCAGGGGAAACTTCCCATACATGGGAATTCATGCAGTGGGCCTGGAAGGGCTCCTGAGGTTGAACCAGCCCTGCTGGGATCGCCTGGAGTGGGGCCAGCCCTGGGGAGGACTCTGGCAAGGGCAGTGCAGGGAATGAGAACCCAGCCATATGTTGCATTTCCCCCAAAAAATCTTTATATAACCTCTTCCCTTAAGAATGCTAAGTTTTGTAAATAAACACAATAGTTATAAGTTTCCTGCCAAGATCAGGACAATTAAATTTCCCAAGAGGCAGAGAATGTGTTGTTTTTTTTCTCACACTGTTCAGCAAGAGGGTGTGATGGTGAAGCTTATCTTTGATTTGTCAAACTAAGCTTCTCTACCTGTCATTAATAAGATTTTTTTCCTCCTGCTGTTTACTTATTTGGGTAGAATTTTTGATCATATAAGCTTAATAGTATTTTCAAAAGGTTAGTTGTCATCTTAAAAGATGTTTAACATGCATCAATGGTATAAATTCTGATTTAAAACCAGCTTCTGCACAGAATAGGTGTATTTTAAATGATAATAAATACATATTTATTAAATATTTATCATACACACAGCATGTACCCTGTCTCTTTTCCATAAGGAGAAGGGAAACTGTTGGAATATATTGAGTTTTTGCAGTGTTCCAAATTCTGAACTAGATAACCTGACATCTATTATTTAATTGAGTACTTACAGAAACCCTCTGTAAGCTATCATTAGCCTCAATTTTCAAATGAAGAAAATGAGGCTGAGAGAGAACCATGGGTGATTTGCCCAGTGTCATAAAACTACATTTTCCAAGGTAGAATTCATACTCCATCTATTTATTCTAGAAAGAAAAATTTTTTTAGTTTATTGAGAGAGAGAGAAAGAAACATCGATTTGTTGTTCCATTTATTTATGCATTTATTGGTTGATTCTTATATGTATCCTTACTAGGGATTGAACCTGCAACCTTGGTGCAATAGGCTGATGTTCTAACCAACTGAGCTACCCATTCAGTGCATTCAATCTTTTTATTCTAAATCTAGTTTATTTTTCTCTATATTATGTTGCTATCCAATATTTTCATGAAGCCTTAAACTAGACAATACACTAAAAACTTTTCAAGTCTTGGTATACCATTTTCTTATTTAAACTTTTTGGTGTTACAAGGTTCAAGGTAGGACAGGGGTGGGTAAATCCAACAGCAGCAAGCTGTTTAAGGGGTGAAAACTGTGTAGGCCAAAGAAATGCCTCCTTTTATCGAACTTCCTAGGTTCTGTGGGGATGGCACTTAGTTAATAATTGCTGAGACTATTTCTGTGTCATTAAGCAAATAATTATAGTCATATTTAAAAAGCAAAGGTAAAAAACATACATTCAACATGAATGCAGTCTTGCTTCATCCTGAGCCTTTTCTGTTTCTTGATTTCTACCTCTTCCTTGAACAACTTTTAATTTTGAGGCAGTCTTTAGCAAAATGTGTAACTTGCTTGCCCTCCCTAACTTTAACCATTGCTCTCTGACTGTGGAGTTTTACTGAACACCTCTTCCTATATTCTCCTCACTTAGTGATACTGTCAGACTCCCAGCCTTCCCTAGAGAATCCTAGAGATATCCTTTAGTCTTCCTATCACACAGTGGCTAGTTGTTTGGACTTGGAGTCAGACTGGTCTGGGGTTACCACTTAATCGTCATATGACCTTGAGCAATTTACTTAATCCCACAATTTCTTGGTTTCCTCATCTATAAAACATGATAATAATACTCCTCAAGGTATTTTAAGGATACATGTGATTATGAAGGAAAGCCCTACCTTATCATCTGAAACATGTGAAGTGCTCATTAAGTAGTAGTAGTTATTTCTTGCCCTTCACATCCAATTAGTTACTAACTTCTGCTATTTTACATTCTGAATAGTGGCTGAATCTCCTCTCATTTCCATCCCTCCTGCTACTGCCCTGCCCTAGGCATTTATGCCCCAATCACTGCAGTAGCCTCCTGAATTGAGTCTCTTCTCTTTCTGCAAATACAGCATCATCCATGTTATGGCTACCTAAGCAATATTTCTTTTTTAAAATATATATTTTATTGATTTTTTTATAGAGAGGAGGGGAGAAGGATAGAGAGTTAGAAACATCAATGAGAGTGAAACATCAATCAGCTGCTTCCTGCACATCTCCTACGGGGATGTACCCGCAACCAAGGTACATGTCCTTGACCAGAATCAAACCTGGGACCTTTCAGTCCACAGGCCAACGCTCTATCCACTGAGCCAAACCAGTTAGGGCCCCAAGCAATATTTCTAAAGTGTTCATTGGACCTTATGGCTTTCTTGCTTATTGCCCTCCAAGATCATCTCTGAATTCCTCAACATGTAAAGGTTTTATTTATTTATTATTTGGACTTTGTGACTTTTTGATGGCATATCAATAGCACTGTCTTTGATTAGGTCTCTTCGCAAAACCTTGCTTAATCATCCTAGCCTCAGCCAGAAACTGGGAGAGGAACACAGGATAAAGGGGAGAAACTCATAGATATGTCTTTGCTTCTCTTTCTCTTTTCTGAAAAATAAAGAAAATCTGATGAAACAGTTTTCATATAATGAAGTTGCCATATTAATCTCAGGAAAGAGATCAGAAGATACTGAAGCTATAAAAACATTGTAAAGATTAGAAAATTTATTAAAGAAAATTTCATAAAACAGGCAGTTTAATATTGGATTCACTTCATGGGTAGAATGCCTTCCAGGTTAATATAATAGAGCTGAGAAGTATTAGCAGTTCCTCTTCACACCTTTACCAGTCATATCCAGTTGTCAAAAAAGGCATAATACTTCTGCTGTCAGCCCCATTACACAGGCCAGAATAATAGTGTAGCAGCCAATTTCTGGTATAAATAGAACTCAGGGGAAAGAAATGGCTGAAAAGCAAGCCAAGTATGGTGAAACTAATTATGATGACAAGCATGTTATTAGAGACAGGTAATGGGCAGAAAACTACATTATCATTAATGTTTTTCTCAACCCGATAATGAAAAGCGTGAGGATACAGGTGTAAAGGCGCTTGCTAGTTTGGCAGCAGGTGGAGAATAATTGGTTATGTGTGTGAGTGGCTAGAAGGAGGGCAGAGTAAACACTGCAAATAAAAGTAGAGGAAAATGCCATTGACCTTCCTGAGATTTAGGTGGAAGATTCTTTTGGAGATGCTTTGTGTGTGTTTTCTGGAGAAGCCAGAGCGGACAGTCTATGGTGGAGAGAATTGTGGCACTGCAGTCCTTAACCCTTTCTGGATCACAGAATTCTGAGAATATGATTAGCTTCTGAATCTTCTTTTTCCTTTGAAAAGGGAGTTATATTATTCAAGGTTACAAATAGAGCTAATTATTATGAATTAAGTCTGTCTAATTTAGACAAATTGAAAAACATATATCTGCATTATTTCCTATTAAATAGGATCACTGAGGAATAGTATGAAAAGATAATGTTTATGCAGATATTCTCCATTTTTTCAAGAAAATCTAGAAATTCATAAAACCTGTATGTCACTTGGGCAAAATGATTTTAAATTTAAAAATGGAGCCAGAGTTCTCGATGCCTGGAAAGTCTTATAGAATATCATTTAATTCAGTTGCTCGTTCTTTCAATATTATCTATTGAACACTTACTTGGAGCAATATTTTGAAGCTACGTGGATTGAAAAGAAATTCAGATTTTATTTTCAATTAGGTGAGGAGTACTATTTTGTAATGGGGTAGCCCATTACTAAATTACCTTTAGTTTATTATAAAATTTAGATCCAACATGTAAGGTTCTTAGCTTGGAGTAGTGTTTAAAAGTATGGACCCAATGCCAAAACCGGTTTGGCTCAGTGGTAGAGCGTCCGTCTGCGGACTGAAAGGTCCCAGGTTCGATTCCGGTCAAGGGCATGTACCTTGGTTGTGGGCACATCCCCGGTGAGGGGTGTGCAAGAGGCAGCTGGTTGATGTTACTCTCTCATTGATGTTTCTGACTCTCTATCTCTCTCCCTTCCTCTCTGTAAAAAATCAATAAAATATATTTAAAAATAATAATAAAAACAAAAGTATGGACCCAATGATGTTTAGTGTTTGTGCATCAACTTGGCTAAGCTATTTTACCCAGTTATTCAAACACTCATCTATAAGTGTTGTGAATGTACTTTGTAGATGTGGTTAACATCTACAATCAGTGGACTTCCTTGATAATATGGTTAGGCCTCACCCAACTAGTTGAAAGGCGTTAAGAGAAAAACTGAGATTTCTATGGGGAAGAAGAAATTCTGTTTTAAGACCTCAACACCACTTCCTGCCTGCCTGCCCTGTACATATTGGATTTGCCAGCCCCCATAATCACTGAACAATCCTGATGGGTTCTGTTTCTCTGGAAAACCCCGACTGATACCAACTCTAAACAGACTCCTGGGTTTGAAGCATGGCTCTACTACTTCTCTATTAGGTGATTTCTGTACCTCTGTTACTTCATCTATAAAATGGGATAATACTTGTACCTAACTCAAGGAAACCAGAACAACCCCGAGCAGAGAGTTTTAAATAAATAATTCTGTGGTGCCAAGTTTAATTCTCAGCTGGAAAACTTGAGATGTTTTCATTCTCAAATATTTGCCATCAACCATACATGATCACCTTTTTCCACACCAAGAACAG